CCATCCAGCACCACCATCCGGCACAACTTTCCAGCACCACCATCGGGCACCACCATCCCGCACCAGCATCCGGCACCACCTTCCGATGTTTTGCCCCACGTGCCAGCAGCGCTTACACGGACGCTGCGGCGGTCGTGAGCGCTCCGCGGCGCTGCGGAAGAATCCCAGCCTGGGAGGCCGCCGGGCAGGCGCGTCATCTCCCCGAGTGGTGCGGCGGAAACGACCGACGACGCAGGTTTCCGAAATCCGCTGGCTTCTGCCCACCCGGTCAGTCGCTCCCACTCGCCCGCCCGCCCGCCCAGCACGCCGGGCGATGGTTATTTATCTATCCATCGTCCCGTTCGTTCGCCCAGAGAGAGTCCCGTGGACGAGCCTCAAGACTCTCAGCAAACGTGGGGGCATCGCGCTGCGCAAGGCGCGAGTGGCACAGGCAGGCGCAGACATTCGCGCACGGTCGCACGCAGGCAGTAGGACCCATTGCTGACACAGAGAGGGGGGCCTTGCCCGTGACACCTGGCGGCTCACCAGCATTGGTTCTAACGGGTACAGCTGACGAGACGCTGCGTGACGAAACCGGCCCAGAGTTTTGCCGGTACCGGATCAATGCCGCCGAAGTGACGCACTCCCAGGTGGGTCGCGTGGCCGATGGGATGCGTAAAATATTAAAGCCGAGTGTTCGTTTGTGCGGAGAGACGGAGCGTCGGCCCACCATTTATTATTTATTTAAGTGACCTTTACTTCGTTACTTCTGCAGTGACATCCCGTTTGGGGGATTGGCTGCTCTGCCGGCACGGCTGGGAACTCCGGCCCAATGAAATCTGACGGTCAACCCCCCACCTACCCACCTACTCCTCCCTCACCCTCCCACCCCCCCAGGGGGCTCACCCCCCCTCCCCCCCAGCGGGGGAGCGTGGACGTGCCGAACGTGGGTGCCCGATCAGAGCGGCCGCCTACATCGAGACGGGCAGCTCCGTGTGTGCGTGCGTCGCTTATTTACCAGTTGTTTATTGTTGTTTATTGTTGTTGTTGTTGTCGTTTCGTTTTAAGATCATCTACCCAGGACGGCCACGACTCCCAGAGCCTCCCTCGTTCAGGAGGGGTTCCTGCCAGGCTCTCACAACAGGGGGGCGATGTTGCTGAGGTGTTGGTCTGTGTGGGTCAGTGTTGGTCTGTGTGGGTCAGTGTTGGTCTGTGGGTGTGTGGGTCTGTGTGGGTCAGTGTTGGTCTGTGGGTGTGTGGGTCTGTGTGGGTCAGTGTTGGTCTGTGGGTGTGTGTCTGTGTGGGTCAGTGTTTGTCTGTGTGTGCGGGTCTTTGTGGGTCAGTGTTTGTCTGTGGTTGTCTGTGTGTAGGTGTCTGTGTGGGTCAGTTTATGTCTGTGGGTGTGTGGGTCTGTGTGGGTCAGTGTTGGTCTGTGGGTGTGTGGGTCTGTGTGGGTCAGTGTTGGTCTGTGTGTGCGGGTCTTTGTGGGTCAGTGTTTGTCTGTGGTTGTCTGTGTGTAGGTGTCTGTGTGGGTCAGTGTATGTTTGTGGGTGTGGGTCTGTATTGGCGGGTGCCGGGGAGTGGTCGTGTGCTGCGCTACGAACCCGGCGTCCCGAGTTCGATTCCCGCTCACGGCCACCAACACCGGTGACGATTATCTGCACCGGTCCTGGGCCTCCCCTAGCTTGACTCAGCCTCAAATGAGTGCGGTGTGTAAAGGCCGCAGGGCGTGGTGCTGGCTACGACCCACCCCCCTCTCGTGTGCCATGCCGGCCTTCACTGGTGCTGCTACTCTGCACGGGGGGATCTTTGTCACTAACTCATTTGCTCAACCACTCACTCACTCACCCACTCACCCACTCACCCACTCACACACTCACTCACTCACCAACCCACCCACCCACCCACTCACTCACCCACTCACCCACCTACTCAAACACCCACCTACTCACTCACCCACTCACCCACTCACTCACTCACCCGCTCACCCACCCACTCACTCACCCACTCACCCACCTACTCACTCACCCACTCACCCACCTACTCACTCACTCACTGACCCACCTACTCACTCACCCACTCACTCACTGACTCATTCACCCACTCACTTATTCGCTCACTCACTCACACACTCACCCACCCACTCACCCACTCACCCACCCACCCACTCACCCACCCACCCACCCACTCACTCACCCACTCACCCGCTCGCTCACTCACCCACCCACTCACCCACTCACTCACTCACCCACCGACCCACCCACTCACTCACCCACCCACTCACTCACTCACCTGCTCACCCACCCACTCACCCACTCACTCACTCACCCACTCACCCTCTCGCCCACTCACCCACCCACCCACCCACTCGCTCGCTCACCCACTCGCTCACCCACTCGCTCACTCACTCAATCACCCACCCACTCGCTCACTCCCTCGTTCGCCCACTCACTCGCCCCCTTTGTTTCACCAGCTGTGCCACCAGCACCATCAGCCAACGGTGGTGGCACAGTGAGACAGCGAGAGAGGGAGTGAGCGAGAGAGGGAGGGAGAGAGCGAGGGAAAGCGGCTATATTTGGCACAAGTGGGCGACTAACACGAGAGCCCTGGTGTCACGTGAAGAGAGAGAAGTCTCCATCAGCTGACGTCTCCATCAGCTGACGTCTCCATCAGCTGACGTCTCGACCATCAGCTGACGTCTCCATCAGCTGACGTCTCCATCAGCTGACGTCTCCATCAGCTGACGTCTCCATCAGCTGACGTCTCCATCAGCTGACGTCTCCATCACCTGACGTCTCGACCATCAGCTGATGTCTCCATCAGCTGACGTCTCCATCAGCTGACGTCTCGACCATCAGCTGACGTCTCCATCAGCTGACGTCTCGACCATCAGCTGACGTCTCCATCAGCTGACGTCTCCATGAGCTGACGTCTCGACCATCAGCTGACGTCTCCATCAGCTGACGTCTCCATCACCTGACGTCTCGACCATCAGCTGACGTCTCGACTATCAGCTGACGTCTCGACCATCAGCTGACGTCTCGACCATCAGCTGACGTCTCGACCATCAGCTGACGTCTCCATCAGCTGACGTCTCCATCAGCTGACGTCTCCATCAGCTGACGTCTCCATCAGCTGACGTCTCCATCAGCTGACGTCTCGACCATCAGCTGACGTCTCCATCAGCTGACGTCTCCATCAGCTGACGTCTCCATCAGCTGACGTCTCCACCAGCTGACGTCTCGACTATCAGCTGACGTCTCCATCAGCTGACGTCTCCATCAGCTGATGTCTCCACCAGCTGACGTCTCGACCATCAGCTGACGTCTCCATCAGCTGACGTCTCCATCACCTGACGTCTCGACCATCAGCTGACGTCTCGACTATCAGCTGACGTCTCCATCACCTGACGTCTCCATCAGCTGACGTCTCCATCAGCTGACGTCTCGACCATCAGCTGACGTCTCCATCAGCTGACGTCTCCATCAGCTGACGTCTCCATCAGCTGACGTCTCGACCACCAGCTGACGTCTCCATCAGCTGATGTCTCCATCAGCTGACGTCTCCACCAGCTGACGTCTCGACCATCAGCTGACGTCTCGACTATCAGCTGACGTCTCCATCAGCTGACGTCTCCATCAGCTGATGTCTCCACCAGCTGACGTCTCGACCATCAGCTGACGTCTCCATCAGCTGAAGTCTCCATCACCTGACGTCTCGACCATCAGCTGACGTCTACAACAGCTGACGTCTCGACTATCAGCTGACGTCTCCATCAGTTGACGTCTCCATCAGCTGACGTCTCGACCATCAGCTGACGTCTCCATCAGCTGACGTCTCCATCAGCTGACGTCTCCATCAGCTGACGTCTCCATCAGCTGATGTCTCCATCAGCTGACGTCTCCATCAGCTGACGTCTCCATCAGCTGACGTCTCCATCAGCTGACGTCTCGACCATCAGCTGACGTCTCGACCATCAGCTGACGTCTCGACCATCAGCTGATGTCTCGACCATCAGCTGACGTCTCGACCATCAGCTGACGTCTCGACCATCAGCTGACGTCTCGACCATCAGCTGACGTCTCCATCAGCTGATGTCTCCATCAGCTGACGTCTCCATCAGCTGACGTCTCCATCAGCTGACGTCTCGACCATCAGCTGACGTCTCAACCATCAGCTGACGTCTCGACCATCAGCTGACGTCTCAACCATCAGCTGACGTCTCGACCATCAGCTGACGTCTCCATCAGCTGACATCTCCATCAGCTGACGTCTCCTTCAGCTGACGTCTCCATCAGCTGGCACACGAGACGCGGAGACACGCGGTGCCAGCGGAGGGCAGCGCCAATCCCACGGCGATAGCGCCACTTGTTACTTCCCGCGCGCCGACCACCACCAGCACTGTGGGGGCTGGAATCGCCACCACCGCCATCGTAAGGCACTGCCACCACCTCCGGCACCACAGCCGCCACCACTGCCGCCACCACCACCACCACCACCGCCACCACCACCGCCGCCACCGCCACCACCACCACCACTGCCGCCACCACCACCACCACCGCCGCCACCACCACCGCCGCCACCGCCACCACCACCACCACTGCCGCCACCACCACCACCACCGCCGCCACCATCACCACCGCCGCCACCACCGCCGCCGCCACACTTGTACTTTGAGCATCTCGGCAGTGCCAGCTCAGCTCTCAGCGCTCCGGGCCGCGTAGTCACCCCTCAACCGTTTGCGCCCGGCGACGGCGCGAGTGAGCCCACGGCCGCTGTCGGCGGCGCCACGGTGGGGGGGGTGTGGGGGGTGTGGGGGGTGTGGGGGGGTGTGGGGGGTGTGGGGGGTGTGGGAGGTGTGGGGGGGTGTGGGGGGTGCGGGGGGTGTGGGGGGGTGTGGGGGGGTGTGGGGGGTGTGGGGGGTGTGGGGGGGTGTGGGGGGTGTGGGGGGGTGTGGGGGGGTGTGGGGGGGTGTGGGAGGTGTGGGGGGTGTGGGGGGTGGTGGCGGGAGGCGTTGTCACCTGCTGTGTCGCTCGCCGCGCCAGCACGTCAGCGAAGCGCCGGATGTCGGCCTCGGGCCCCCGCTGAGTCCCCCTGCGGCCGCCCTTCCGGCTGCTCAGCATCGCTACGTCCAGGTGGGGGTGAAAGGTCACCCAGGAGCCCTTTCCCAGGGCATGCTGGGTGCGTGGAATCCACGCGGCCTCGCAGCTGGGGGGGGGGGGGGGGTGGGTGGGGGCGGTGAGTGGGGGGGGTGAGTGGGGGGGGTGAACGGGGGGGGGGGTGAGTGGGGGGGTGAGTGGGGTGGGTTGGTGGGGGGGTGGCGGGACAGCCGGCGAGAGTGAACACCCCGAGCGGACAGACCCCACCTCACCAGGACGGTGGGGTGGGTGGCAACTTGCAGGGACACTGGAAGCCCTTAACAGACTGTAGGGGCAAGTGCTGTCAGCGAGCACCAACGAAGGCCGGCACGGCACGCGAGGGGGTGGGTGGCCAACAACACGCCCGGCCGCCTTTGTCTCCCCAGTGGCGATGTTTGCGCGCCGCACCAGGTTACTCATTTGAGGCCGAGTTGACCCAGGGGAGTCCCGGGACCGGTTCAGATGTTGGTGCCCGTGAGCGGGGAATCGAACTCGTGTCGCCGCCGTGAGTGTACAGGAAGCAATCAGAAACCCTGGACAACGCGTACAGGAATTTCAGGGGGGTCGGTAGGGCGGGAGGTCACTGCCCCCCCCCCAGCCCCGACCATCGGACACCACCCTGCCCCCCCCCCTCACCCCCACTGCCGCCCTGTCACATTGCCGTAACAAAAGGAATCGCTGTACCCGCGCGTCTCCTCCGCGTTCCATCAACCCCCGCACACTCGCGCAGACAAAGTGCGCGTCTGTCTGTGCGTGAGATGACATCACCACCACTGCCGCCATCATCATCGTCATTGTCGTCACCACCACCATCATAATCATCATCGTTACCACCACCGCCACCACCATCGTTGTCACCACCACCGTCAATATCGTCGTCACCAACACCACCATCGTCGTCATCGTCACCATCATCATCATCGTCACCACCACCACCACCATCATCGTCGTCATCGTCGTCACCACCACCACCATCATCACTATCACCACCACCAACGTCATCATCATCATCACCACCATCATCATCATCGTCGTCACCATCATCATCGTCACCATCATCATCATCGTCGTCACTACCACCACCATCATCATCACCATCATATCATCATCACCACCACCATCATCATCGTCGACCACCACCACCATCACCACCAATACCACCACCACCACCATCACCACCAACACCACCACCACCACCATCACCACCAACACCACCACCAACACCACCACCAACACCATCACCACCAACACCACCACCAACACCACCACCAACACCACCACCACCATCACCACCAATACCACCACCAACACCACCACCACCATCACCACCAACACCACCACCATCACCACCAACACCACCACCAACACCACCACCAACACCACCACCAACACCACCACCACCATCACCACCACCACCATCACCACCAACACCACCACCAACACCACCACCAACACCACCACCAACACCACCACCACCATCACCACCACCACCATCACCACCAACACCACCACCAACACCACCACCAACACCTCTGTCATCACTACCACCACAGCGCCCCCCTCCCCAGCACGCCGGATGGGTGAGAATCTCCCCCACGCCGTGCGCGGGGTTCACGATGTCGCCAGCTTGACCGTACTTCACCGCGCCGCTCGCTAACGGCTTTGCCGAGGGATGAAAGGTGTCCCGGCGCAAGCGCGGGCGGACGCGGCTCGCCCACGCCCCGCTGCCGGGAATCCAACTCGGCGGTTTGTCACCGGTGCCGTTTGCCGCTCACCGCTCGGCAGCGCCGGGGGGGCGGTCGCCGGCGGCGTCGCCGTTGGGGTCGCGACCCCCCTCCGTGTCCCCGGCGGCGCCGGTGGCGGCCGGGAAGGCGGCGCGCAGGCAGGAGAGGACGCACGGCAGGGACAGGCGGCGTGCGGTGGCCAGCAGCCCTGCCCGCACAGACACACAAAGGTCCCCCGTGCGGCCTCCACAGGCTGTAGGGGCAAGTGCCGTTGGCGAGCAGCACCTGTGAAGGCCGGCACGGCACACGAGGGGGTGGGTGGCCAGCACCACGCCCGGCCGCGTTTGTCTCCCCGGTGGCGATGTTTACACATCGCACCGGGTACTCGTGTGAGGCTGAGTCGACCTAGGGGAGGCCCAGGACCGGTTCATATATTCGTCAACCGGTGTTGACCGTGAGCAGGAATCGAACTCGGGATTCTGGGTCCGTAACGCTAACCGCGAAGCCACGGCGCCCCACAACACACACACGCTCACACCCACACACACACCAACACATCACACACCCCTCTGCCTGTAGCCCCACGCATCAACAATCCTGCACCGACCCTCACCGCCGATCTCCGAGGCCGTGCCACCGCCGCCTCACCGTGCCGCTTCTCGTCGGGCAGCGCCAGTTCCCCGCCGGCGCGCAGGTGCTGCAGGGCGGCCGCCACGGCGGGGTCGAGGCGCGCCAGCTGCTCCGCGTCCAGCCCCGCCAGCAGCGGCGAGTCGGGCCGCTCGCCCGCCGAGCGCGCCAGCTGAGCGGCGACGGCGCACGCCAGGTCGCGCGCGAACGCGAAGCGCGCCGCCGGCACCGCCGCCGGCACCGCCGCCGGCACCGCCGCCGCCGCCGGCTGAGGGCACCCGGAGGCGCCGGCGCCGGTCAGGCGGCCCGGGCCGGCCTCGCCTCGCGGCCACGCCCACAGGGAGAGGCTGACGTACTCACAGCGGTCGTGGCCTGCGGGCGGCAACGCGGGCCACGAGGGCCCGGCACGACGGTGACGACGGTGACGGCGGTGACGGTGAGGATGGTGACGGTGACGGCGAGGATGGTGACGGTGACGGCGGTGACGGTGACGGCGGTGACGATGGTAAAGGTGACGGCGGTGACGGTGACGGTGAGGATGGTGACGGTGACGGTGAGGACGGTGACGGTGAGGACGGTGACGGCGAGGATGGTGACGGTGACGGTGAGGATGGTGACGGTGAGGATGGTGACGGTGACGGTGAGGACGGTGACGGTGACGGTGAGGATGGTGACGGTGAGGATGGTGACGGTGACGGTGAGGACGGTGACGGTGAGGACGGTGACGGCGAGGATGGTGACGGTGACGGTGAGGATGGTGACGGTGAGGATGGTGACGGTGACGGTGAGGACGGTGACGGTGACGGTGAGGATGGTGACGGTGAGGATGGTGACGGTGACGGTGAGGACGGTGACGGCGAGGATGGTGACGGTGACGGTGAGGATGGTGACGGTGAGGATGGTGACGGTGACGGTGAGGACGGTGACGGTGACGGTGAGGATGGTGACGGTGAGGACGGTGATGGTGAGGATGGTGACGGTGAGGATGGTGACGGTGAGGACGGTGATGGTGAGGATGGTGACGGTGACGGTGAGGATGGTGACGGTGAGGATGGTGACGGTGACGGTGAGGACGGTGACGGTGACGGTGAGGACGGTGACGGTGAGGATGGTGACGGTGAGGATGGTGACGGTGAGGACGGTGATGGTGAGGATGGTGACGGTGACGGTGAGGATGGTGACGGCGAGGCGAGCGACCGGCATCTGCATCCCAACGCGGTTGAAAGGGCACCCCCAGTGGCAGCTGCCCCTGTGCGGCAGTCAGCCACTAGGGGGCAATGTTAGCTCTGTTGCGCAGCCTGTGGGGGTACCCCCAGCGGCAGCTGTCCCTGCAGGGAACAAGGTGAGCGGGCGCTGGTCTGCCGGTTGCTGTGCACGGCGATCCCTTACAGGCAGAGAGACAGAGGCAGAGAGGGACAGAGACGGGCAGGCAGAGGGATAAACGGAGACAGAGACACGCAGAGAGACAGACAGAGAGAGACAGGCAGACAGGCAGAGAAAAACGTAGAGACAAAGATCCCCCGTACAGCGTTCACGGGCCGCTGGGGCGAGAGCTGTTAGCGAGCAGCACCTACGAAGGCCGGCACGGCACACGAGGGGGTGGGTTTGCAGGACGACGCCCTGCCGCCTTTGTCTCCCCAGTGGCGATGTTTACACACCGCACCAGGTTACCCATTTGAGGCCGAGTCGACCTAGGGGCGAGGCCAGGAACAGCTCAGATAATCGTCACCGGTGTTGGCCGTGAACGGGAATCGGGACTCGGGTCGCCGGGTTCGTAGTGCGGGGCGCTTACCGCTACACCGGCGCTCCCCGCAAAGTCAAAACACAGAGGCACAGGCGGGAAGAGAGATGAACCGAGGTCGAGACTGGCGGGCGTGGGCTGGCAGGGAGCTCTGAGACCCCGCGGGCAGCGGAGGCCACGGGGGGCCACTGCAGAGTAACGGGAAGAGAGAGCGGGGAAGGAGTGGGCGGCACGGAACCACCACCACCCGCACCCCGTCGCACGGCCCCCCCCCACTCCACCGTCGCGAGCTCCCGCTCGGCACGGCTCCTCGCAAGGGGGGCGGGGGGCAGCACGATGGCGGGGAGAGGCACGCGGAACGGGGAACACGTGGCACGGGAGCAGACGCGTGTCGTCACGGTGATCATCATACAGCGGCGGATAGACCGCGGCGACGGTGACGGGAAATGGGCTCGGCGTCGTCCGGCGCGGTGTCCGACGTTTCGCCACGCGCGCACTTGGCGGCTTCCCCCCGGGGCTCGTGCAGCGTGGACCTCCGGCCCACCAAAAAATAAACTTTGGTCGGAAGTCGATCGTCGCTACGAGTCGGCGTGACCTCGGTCACAGACGGACACACGGAGAGACAGGCACGCAGACACAACAATGACGACAACAACAGCTGTTCGCCACTAAGCGGCGGTGACGTCGCCCGTGCCAGGCTAAGTGCCGCGTCTGAGGCTCCCGTGTGGAGTGTTGCAAGGACTGGAGCGTGAGCTACGCAAGTCAAACTTCTTTCGCATCGTACCTAGCCAACCGTGCTAACAGGAGGTGCAGTGCAGGCCGACGTGAGACCCACGGTTTTTTTATTTAGCTTCAGTCAAAATCTCAGTCTGGCTCATAAACCCTGTGTCCGTCCCAGGCTCTGGGTTTCTCGATACACACACACTCAGAAAGAGTGAATTAACTCTCCTGAAACTTCATGGCCAACGTGGCAGAGCAGGCCACATTACCCTCTAGAGGGGCTGCCCAGAGCTGCCACTCTCACACGACGCCGTTAAAACCATCTCACTCTGTCCCCACTGGAGCTGGTGAACCTGAACCATCTCACTCTGTGTCTCCACTGGAGCTGGTAACCTGAACCATCTCACTCTGTGTCTCCACTGGAGCTGGTGAACCTGAACCATCTCACTCTGTGTCTCCACTGGAGCTAGACAATCTGAACCATCTCGCTCTGCGTCTCCACTGGAGCTGGTAACCTGAACCATCTCCCTCTGTGTCTCCACTGGAGCTGGTGAACCTGAACCATCTCGCTGTCTCCACTGGAGCTAGACAACCTGAACCATCTCACTCTGTGTCTCTACTGGAGCTAGACAACCTGAACCATCTCCCTCTGTGTCTCTACTGGAGCTAGACAACCTCAACCATCTCACTCTGCGTCTCCACTGGAGCTAGACAACCTGAACCATCTCACTCTGCATCTCCACTGGAGCTGGGTAACCTGAACCATCTCACTCTGTGTCTCCACTGGAGCTGGGTAACTTGAACCATCTCACTTTATGTCTCCACTGGAGCTAGACAACCTGAACCATCTCGCTGTCTCCACTGGAGCTAGACAACCTGAACCATCTCACTCTGTGTCTCTACTGGAGCTAGACAACCTGAACCATCTCACTCTGTGTCTCTACTGGAGCTAGACAACCTGAACCATCTCACTCTGTGTCTCTACTGGAGCTAGACAACCTGAACCATCTCACTCTGTGTCTCTACTGGAGCTAGACAATCTGAACCATCTCACTCTGCGTCTCCACTGGAGCTAGACAACCTGAATCATCTCACTCTGTGTCTCCACTGGAGCTGGTGAACCTGAACCATCTCGCTCTGCGTCTCCACTAGAGCTAGACAACCTGAACCATCTCACTCTGTGTCTCTACTGAAGCTAGACAACCTGAACCATCTCGCTCTGCGTCTCTACTGGAGCTAGACAACCTGAACCATCTCACTCTGTGTCTCCACTGGAGCTGGTGAACCTGAACCATCTCGCTCTGTATCTCTACTGGAGCTAGACAACCTTAACCATCTCACTCTGTGTCTCTACTGGAGCTAGACAACCTGAACCATCTCACTCTGTGTCTCTACTGGAGCTAGACAATCTGAACCATCTCACTCTGCGTCTCCACTGGAGCTAGAGAACCTGAACCATTTCACTCTGCGTCTTCACTAGAGCTAGACAACCTGAACCATCTCACTCTGTGTCTCCACTGGAGCTGGGTAACTTGAACCATCTCACTTTATGTCTCCACTGGAGCTAGACAACCTGAACCATCTTGCTCTGCGTCTCCACTAGAGCTAGAGAACCTGAACCATCACACTCTGCGTCTCTAATGGAGCTAGACAACCTGAACCATCTCGCTCTGCGTCTCTACTGGAGCTAGACAACCTGAACCATCTCACTCTGTGTCTCCACTGGAGCTAGACAACCTGAACCATCTCACTCTGTGTCTCCACTGGAGCTGGTGAACCTGAACCATCTCGCTCTGTGTCTCCACTGGAGCTAGACAACCTGAACCATCTCACTCTGTGTCTCTACTGGAGCTAGACAACCTGAACCATCTCACTCTGTGTCTCTACTGGAGCTAGACAATCTGAACCATCTCACTCTGTGTCTCTACTGGAGCTAGACAATCTGAACCATCTCACTCTGTGTCTCTACTGGAGCTAGACAACCTGAACCATCTCACTCTGTGTCTCCACTGGAGCTGGTGAACCTGAACCATCTCGCTCTGTGTCTCTACTGGAGCTAGACAACCTGAACCATCTCACTCTGCGTCTCCACTAGAGCTAGACAACCTGAACCATCACGCTCTGCACGCTTTCATCGTCGTCACCGATTCCGTAATTGGTCGCCTCCGGCTTCCTGGGCGGCACGGCCACTTGACCTGCAGCGCCGTAAAGGAGATAATCGAGGAAGCCGGCGCTTCCTTCCCCGTGCCGGCGGTGGCCAGCCGGCGCGTGCCTCGCCTGAATTACCACGCTCGCTTCCCACGCCACGAGCAGAGATGGCCGCCAAAGCGAGCAGCCGATTGTGTACGAGTGTCTGTCCGAGAGTGTGTGTTAGTGTGTGTGTTAGTATATGTGAGTACGTGTTAGTGTGTGTGTTAGTGTGTGTGTTAGTGTGTGTGTTAGTGTGTGTGTGTTAGTATGTGTGAGTACGTGTTAGTGTGTGTGTTAGTGTGTGTGAGTACGTGTTAGTGTGTGTGTGTTAGTATGTGTGAGTACGTGTTAGTGTGTGTGTTAGTGTGTGCATGAGAATGTGAGTGTATGAAGGACACACTACTGGGCAGTTGGAGGCAGTCGCCCTAGAACAACAACAGAGGGCGGAGGTGCGATGCTCACAACAACGAGCGAAGCGCCAGGCGGGTAAAATAAAAAAAGTTGGCACAGTTGGTGTTCATCTACCGGTCATCAGTCAACCCACGGCACCTGGGACTGCCCCGTGACCTCCTGCCAGCGAGCCTTCGACAACTTCGCGTGGCCTCAAGGTGCACCTGGCCTGGCACAGGCGCCGTGGTGACGTCACCGCCACTTACTGGCGAATGGCCGTCGTGCGTGTGCGTGCGTTCCGTGCTACCTGGCGTGAATCCCTGCAGCGTGCAGCCGTTGAGGCGTGTGGCGGGCGCCACGTGCCGGCTGGCCGAGCCGTCGAACACCAGGAAGAAGTCGGCGTCGCCCGGCGGCAGCGTCCCCTCGGCGCACGACACGAGGACCCGCGTGCCGCCCTGCAAGCACGGCCACCCGCCCCGTTAAGACGACCGCTCCTGAGGCCGACGATCCGGGCTGCCGAGCGAGGACCCAACAAGGCCACCCCCACACCCCCGAGCGACCAGCACGGAGTAAGCCGTGCGTCGCGTACCGTCGCGCGTGTGGTAGTGTACCCGGCGCGTAATAAACATCGCGACAGGGAGACAAAGGCGGCAGGGCGTGGTGCTGGCCACCCACCGCCTCGTGTGGAGTGCCGCCCTTCACAGGCGCCACTCGCTAACAGCACTTGCCCTCGCAGTCCGTCAAGGCTCTATGGGGGAACTTTGTCTCTGCTGTCCGTGTGTGCGTGCGCGCGTTGCGGTGCGAGGGCTTGGCTGGGCGAGCGACCAGGGGGCTCACGATGTAGTCCACGGGAAGGGAGGTCATGAAAATGAAACGAAAAATTAGAAGTGGGCGAAAAGGTGGTGCAGGGGGGTACGCGTGGGATGACACGGAGAGACGGGCACACGTGGATTGGAGAACACACGACAGGTCCGTGGCATCGCACTGATCTTCATCCAGCAGTGGATAGCCCACGGTGAAGATGATGATGACGATGATGATGACACGGGAGCGGCGTGCGGATTGGCCAACGCGCTCAGATTATCGATGACGACATCGTGGTCACGGCTGCTCGAGCGACCTCGAGTGGGGCTTAGAGCTCCAGTGGAGACACAGAGTGAGATGGTTCAGGTTCACCAGCTCCAATGGAGACGCAGGGTGAGATGGTTCAGGTTCACCAGCTCCAGTGGAGACGCAGAGTGAGATGGTTCAGGTTATTTAGCTCCAGTGGAGAAACAGAGTGAGATGGTTCAGGTTCACCAGCTCCAGTGGAGATGCAGAGTGAGATGGTTCAGGTTCACCAGCTCCAGTGGAGACACAGAGTGAGATGGTTCAGGTTCACCAGCTCCAATGGAGACGCAGGGTGAGATGGTTCAGGTTCACCAGCTCCAGTGGAGACGCAGAGTGAGATGGTTCAGGTTACCCAGCTCCAGTGGAGACGCAGAGTGAGATTGTTCAGGTTCACCAGCTCCAGTGGAGACACAGAGTGAGATGGTTCAGGTTCACCAGCTCCAGTGGAGACACAGAGCGAGATGGTTCAGGTTCACCAGCTCCAGTGGAGACGCAGAGCGAGAAGGTTCAGGTCCACCAGCTCCAGTGGAGACACAGAGTGAGATGGTTCAGGTTCACCAGCTCCAGTGGAGACGCAGAGCGAGAAGGTTCAGGTCCACCAGCTCCAGTGGAGACACAGAGTGAGATGGTTCAGGTTCACCAGCTCCAGTGGAGACGCAGAGTGAGATGGTTCAGGTTCACCAGCTCCAGTGGAGACGCAGAGTGAGATGGTTCAGGTTCACCAGCTCCAGTGGAGACGCAGAGTGAGATGGTTCAGGTTCACCAGCTCCAGTGGAGACACAGAGTGAGATGGTTCAGGTTGTCTAGCTCCAGTGGAGACACAGAGTGAGATGGTTCAGGTTCACCAGCTCCAGTGGAGACACAGAGTGAGATGGTTCAGGTTCACCAGCTCCAGTGGAGACAGAGTGAGATGGTTCAGGTTGTCTAGCTCCAGTGGAGACACAGAGTGAGATGGTTCAGGTTCACCAGCTCCAGTGGAGACACAGAGTGAGATGGTTCAGGTTCACCAGCTCCAGTGGAGACGCAGAGTGAGATGGTTCAGGTTCACCAGCTCCAGTGGAGACACAGAGTGAGATGGTTCAGGTTATATAGCTCCAGTGGAGAAACAGAGTGAGATGGTTCAGGTTCACCAGCTCCAGTGGAGATGCAGAGTGAGATGGTTCAGGTTCACCAGCTCCAGTGGAGACACAGAGTGAGATGGTTCAGGTTCACCAGCTCCAATGGAGACGCAGGGTGAGATGGTTCAGGTTCACCAGCTCCAGTGGAGACGCAGAGTGAGATGGTTCAGGTTACCCAGCTCCAGTGGAGACGCAGAGTGAGATTGTTCAGGTTCACCAGCTCCAGTGGAGACACAGAGTGAGATGGTTCAGGTTCACCAGCTCCAGTGGAGACACAGAGCGAGATGGTTCAGGTTCACCAGCTCCAGTGGAGACGCAGAGCGAGAAGGTTCAGGTCCACCAGCTCCAGTGGAGACACAGAGTGAGATGGTTCAGGTTCACCAGCTCCAGTGGAGATGCAGAGCGAGAAGGTTCAGGTCCACCAGCTCCAGTGGAGACACAGAGTGAGATGGTTCAGGTTCACCAGCTCCAGTGGAGACGCAGAGTGAGATGGTTCAGGTTCACCAGCTCCAGTGGAGACGCAGAGTGAGATGGTTCAGGTTCACCAGCTCCAGTGGAGACACAGAGTGAGATGGTTCAGGTTCACCAGCTCCAGTGGAGACACAGAGTGAGATGGTTCAGGTTGTCTAGCTCCAGTGGAGACACAGAGTGAGATGGTTCAGGTTCACCAGCTCCAGTGGAGACACAGAGTGAGATGGTTCAGGTTCACCAGCTCCAGTAGAGACAGAGTGAGATGGTTCAGGTTGTCTAGCTCCAGTGGAGACACAGAGTGAGATGGTTCAGGTTCACCAGCTCCAGTGGAGACGCAGAGCGAGATGGTTCAGGTTCACCAGCTCCAGTGGAGACACAGAGTGAGATGGTTCAGGTTCACCAGCTCCAGTGGAGACGCAGAGTGAGATGGTTCAGGTTCACCAGCTCCAGTGGAGACACAGAGTGAGATGGTTCAGGTTATTTAGCTCCAGTGGAGAAACAGAGTGAGATGGTTCAGGTTCACCAGCTCCAGTGGAGATGCAGAGTGAGATGGTTCAGGTTCACCAGCTCCAGTGGAGACACAGAGTGAGATGGTTCAGGTTCACCAGCTCCAATGGAGACGCAGGGTGAGATGGTTCAGGTTCACCAGCTCCAGTGGAGACGCAGAGTGAGATGGTTCAGGTTACCCAGCTCCAGTGGAGACGCAGAGTGAGATTGTTCAGGTTCACCAGCTCCAGTGGAGACACAGAGTGAGATGGTTCAGGTTCACCAGCTCCAGTGGAGACACAGAGCGAGATGGTTCAGGTTCACCAGCTCCAGTGGAGACGCAGAGCGAGAAGGTTCAGGTCCACCAGCTCCAGCGGAGACACAGAGTGAGATGGTTCAGGTTCACCAGCTCCAGTGGAGACGCAGAGCGAGAAGGTTCAGGTCCACCAGCTCCAGTGGAGACACAGAGTGAGATGGTTCAGGTTCACCAGCTCCAGTGGAGACGCAGAGTGAGATGGTTCAGGTTCACCAGCTCCAGTGGAGACGCAGAGTGAGATGGTTCAGGTTCACCAGCTCCAGTGGAGACGCAGAGTGAGATGGTTCAGGTTCACCAGCTCCAGTGGAGACACAGAGTGAGATGGTTCAGGTTGTCTAGCTCCAGTGGAGACACAGAGTGAGATGGTTCAGGTTCACCAGCTCCAGTGGAGACACAGAGTGAGATGGTTCAGGTTCACCAGCTCCAGTGGAGACACAGAGTGAGATGGTTCAGGTTGTCTAGCTCCAGTGGAGACACAGAGTGATATGGTTCAGGTTCACCAGCTCCAGTGGAGACACAGAGTGAGATGGTTCAGGTTCACCAGCTCCAGTGGAGACAGAGTGAGATGGTTCAGGTTGTCTAGCTCCAGTGGAGACACAGAGTGAGATGGTTCAGGTTCACCAGCTCCAGTGGAGACGCAGAGCGAGATGGTTCAGGTTCACCAGCTCCAGTGGAGACACAGAGTGAGATGGTTCAGGTTCACCAGCTCCAGTGGAGACGCAGAGTGAGATGGTTCAGGTTCACCAGCTCCAGTGGAGACACAGAGTGAGATGGTTCAGGTTGTCTAGCTCCAGTGGAGACACAGAGTGAGATGGTTCAGGTTCACCAGCTCCAGTGGAGACACAGAGTGAGATGGTTCAGGTTCACCAGCTCCAGTGGAGACAGAGTGAGATGGTTCAGGTTGTCTAGCTCCAGTGGAGACACAGAGTGAGATGGTTCAGGTTCACCAGCTCCAGTGGAGACGCAGAGTGAGATGGTTCAGGTTCACCAGCTCCAGTGGAGACACAGAGCGAGATGGTTCAGGTTGTCTAGCTCCAGTGGAGACACAGAGTGAGATGGTTCAGGTTATTTAGCTCCAGTGGAGACACAGAGTGAGATGGTTCAGGTTCACCAGCTCCAGTGGAGATGCAGAGTGAGATGGTTCAGGTTCACCAGCTCCAGTGGAGACACAGAGTGAGATGGTTCAGGTCCACCAGCTCCAGTGGAGACAGAGTGAGATGGTTCAGGTTGTTTAGCTCCAGTAGAGACACAGAGTGAGATGGTTCAGTTTGTCTAGCTCCAGTAGAGACGCAGAGCGAGATGGTTCAGGTTGTCTAGCTCTAGTGGAGACACAGAGTGAGATGGTTCAGGTTATCTAGCTCTAGTGGAGATGCAGAGCAAGATGGTTCAGGTTGTCTAGCTCCAGTGGAGACACAGAGTGAGATGGTTCAGGTTACCCAGCTCCAGTGGAGACGCAGAGTGAGATTGTTCAGGTTACCCAGCTCCAGTTGAGACGCAGAGTGAGATTGTTCAGGTTCACCAGCTCCAGTGGAGACAACAGAGTGAGATGGTTCAGGTTACCCAGCTCCAGTGGAGACAGAGTGAGATGGTTCAGGTTGTCTAGCTCCAGTGGAGACACAGAGCGAGATGGTTCAGGTTACTCAGCTCCAGTGGAGACAGAGTGAGATGGTTCAGGTTGTCTAGCTCCAGTGGAGACGCAGCGTGAGATGGTTAAGGTTGTCTAGCTCCAGTAGAGACGCAGAGTGAGATGGTTCAGGTTACTCAGCTCCAGTGGAGACAGAGTGAGATGGTTCAGGTTGTCTAGCTCCAGTGGAGACGCAGAGTGAGATGGTTCAGGTTACTCAGCTCCAGTGGAGACGCAGAGTGAGATGGTTCAGGTTACCAGCTCCAGTGGAGACACAGAGTGAGATGGTTCAGGTTCACCAGCTCCAGTGGAGACACAGAGCGAGATGGTTCAGGTTAAAGAGATGGTTCAGAGGCAATTGGTGTAGAGGCGCCATTGGGGTGCGCTGTCTGGGCTACTCACGTAGATGGGCGACTCTTTGGGGCTGAAGTCCATGCCGCCTGAATCCTGCAACAAAAATAACAAAAGACACGAATCATCGTCGACTCACAGTGATTGTTGTTGTCACGTTGTGACCTCGTGCCCCAAATGGATTCCTCCATCATAAATACCGATCCTGTCAAACTTCTTTCGCACTGCACCGAGCGGAACCGTTGCTAATCCGAGGTGCGGGGGAAGGCCAACGAACTGAACACGGCAGCTCTAAAGAAACGACTTTTCAGCGCTCTTCCTTCTGAACATCGAAAGGGGAGAGCCTTCCAGACAGCCGCAGAAGTGCATCTGAAAGCGCCGCGCGATGATGATGATGATGCGGTGACCACCGTCTTTGTTCGACAGACAGCAAAAAGCCGCCGCCGCCGCCGCCGCTGCTGCGAGGGTGACCGGGAGTTTGTGCGATGATGGTTGACGAGATCGGGGCTTGGCATGGCTGCCATCGTTCTCACGGAGGCGCGGGACGGTCACCACGGAGGCGCTAATGATTGCCGGCTGCGTGTGTACGTGTGCGATCCCCAATATTTGGCCATTTGCGGACGGCGACGCCGGCACATGGGGCGGGATAGGCCGGATGCTCGTTCCGAGTGACGCAACTGTGAAGCAGGTGGCGCGTATTGTTTACGGTTGGTGCGCACGCCACCGCAGTATTAACCAGGGGCAGGCTGCCGGATTCGAACCGAGCAACTCTGTAACAAGCGGCGAACACGCTACAGCTGGGCAGTCGCGTCATCGCCCCCTATCATCATCATCGTCAGCCATCAGCATCATCATCTGTCCATTAATGCATCTGACCACAGACACTCACAAATGCAGAGACGCAGACGCAAACAGACACAAAGATCCCCCGCGTAGCCTCAACAGACTGTAGGGGCAAGGGCTGTGAGCGAGTAGCAGCACCGACGAAGGCCGGCACTGTGGCACACGAGGGGGTTGAGTGGCCAACACCACGCCCGGCCACCCTTGTCTCCCCAGTGGCGACGTTCTTACACACCGCACCGGGTTATTCATTTGAGGCCGAGGAGACCTAGGGGAGGCTCTGGACCGGCTCTGATCATCACCACTGGTGTTGGTGGCCGCGAGCGGGAATCGAACTCGGGTCGCCGGGTTCGTAGTGCAGCGTAGCGCTAACCGCTACCACCACCGCTCCCCACAAATGCACACATCCATACGGACACACAAAGATCCCCCGTAGAGCCTTCAACGGACTGTTGTGGATAGTGCTGTTGCTAAGCAACTACGAAGGCCGGCATGGCACATGGGGGGAGGTGAGTGGCCAGCACCAGCCTAGCCACCTCTGTCTCCCCAGTGCTGATGGTCACACACTGCACCAGGTACTCATTGAAGGCCGAGTCGACCTAGGGGAAGCCCGGGACGAGTTCCAAAATTTTCGCCATTGGTGTTGGTCACGAGCGGGAGTCGAAGTTGGGTCACCAGGTTCCAAGCGCAGTGCGCTAACCGTTACACGACCGCTCCCCGGACACACACACATACAGAAAGCAACAGCTGCCATTCCCCACGAAGTGGTCATGACGTCACCACGGCAATTGTGCCGGGCTAGGTTCACTTTAAGGAAGTGCATCATCTTCTCGCTGTGAGGTGTGGGAAGCTGCGAGTCCCAGGCTGCTGTGGGCTCGCCTTCCTGTCAATGGTGGTGGTGGTGCTGGTGGTTTACATCCCCACAGAAACATTATCAGTGAACGGATGCAGGCAAAGCAGATGAGTCAGATGCCTTCTATGACCTCCCGTCCCTGGTGCTGGCTAGAGCGGCCCCTCGAGATAGAGTCGTCCCTCGAGATAGAGTCGTCCCTCGTGATAGTCGCCCCTCGTGATAGAGTCGCCCCTCGAGATAGTCGTCCCTCGTGATAGAGTCGCCCCTCGAGAGAGTCGTCCCTCGAGATAGAGTCGTCCCTCGAGATAGAGTCGCCCCTCGTGATAGAGTCGCCCCTCGTGATAGAGTCGCCCTTCGAGATAGTCGTCCCTCGAGATAGAGTCGCCCCTCGTGATAGTCACCCCTCGAGAAAGAGTCGCCCCTCGTGATAGAGTCGCCCCTCGAGATAGTCGCCCCTCGAGATAGAGTCGTCCTGTTGAGTGAGTTGAGTGCCCGATTGGGTCACGGCGCAGCCACCTGGGACGGAGTGACTGGAAGGCACGGGCCAGATCGGCTCAATAACAACGGTAGGAGGCTGCAAAACTTCTGTGCAGCCCATGGACTCGTCGTCACCAACACGCCGTTCCATCACAAGCCCACAACATGCACCACACAGACACTGACAAACACTGACCCACACTGACCCACGCACACACGGTGACCTACACACAGACCCACACACACCAACAAACACTAACCCACACTGACACACACACTCCGACAAACACTGACCCACACTGACACACACACACACGATGGCCTACACACACGGTGACCTACACACACCCACACACTCCGACAAACACTGACCCACACTGACACACACACAACTTCTCACAACATCATGCACACAGAGTTAATTCTGCACATTCTATCAGAATACGAGAAAATGGTCTCAATAGGAGGAAGCGTTTTTCTCTCCAGCGCGACGGCTGCGAGATCACGATAAGGGCCGCCGTTATGGGTGTGCAGCCTTTTCGAGAAATCAGTGATAAAGCCACTAATGAAGAAAGGGCAGGAGAGAAAGAGGGAGAGAAGGAAATAGAGAGAGAGCGACATAGAGTGAGATAAAGAGAGAGGGAGCCAGAGAGAAGAGAGACAAATTAAGACAGCGTGAAAGACGCAGAGAGAGAAAGAGAGAGCAAGTGAGAATGAGAGAGAGAGACTGAGAGAGCGAGAGACCGAGAGCAAGTGAGAACGAGTGTGTGAGAGAGAGAAGGGGTAAGTGATTGTAAAAGAGAGTGAGAGAGATACTGAGAGAGCAAGAAAGAGACTGAGAGAGACGAGTGAGAGCGATAGAGAGACTGGGAGAGACTGACAGAGAGGAAGAGAGACTGATAGAGGGCAAGAGAGAGAGAGACAGAGAGAGACTGATAGAGGGCTCCCACATTATTTCACATCTTTTTCGACCACGTAGTTCGTGAAGCCTTTAATGGCTGTACCAGAGGAATTTCCATCTGGTACAGATACAATGGGAGGCTGATCGATGCCCGGGTGCGGTCAAGGGATGGCTCCCTATTGGTCAACCACGTTATTAATGCCGATGATCTGGTAATTGCCACTCACTCAGAGGAGGAGTTGGAGGCGCTGCTGAACCTGGAGCGTGCCACTAAGAGGTGGGGCCTTCCCATCAGCCCCACCAAGACTAAGCACCTGCCTGGGTATTTTGTCCCAGACACTCCACCCCCACAACTCCCAATTGGTGATGGGGCAGTTGTGGAGAGAGTGGAGAGTTTCCCATACCTGGGCAGTGTGCTTATGACCGGCTCCAGTTTAACAGCAGATGTCTCACTCTGAATCAGTCGAGCGGAATTATCTTTTCATCGGTTGCGTAACGCTGTGTGGAAGCTACCTGGTCTGTCGCTCCGCACTAAGCTTCAGGTCTTCTCGGCCACGGTCATTCCCTCCCTTCTCTATGCTTGCGAAACGTGGACCCCCCTAATGGAACATCTTCGCCGGTTAGAAACATTTAGGCTGGCCTGCCTTCGATCCATCCTGGGATTAACCAGGCCGGATTGTGTGAGAAGCTCACAAATCCTTGAAAGCTCTGGGCAAAGTCCCATCGGTGAGCTCCTCCGGCAGGCAAGGCTGCGATGGCTGGGTCATGTAGCTCGCATGCCCAGCCACCGCATACCTAAACAGCTTTTTTTCGGCCGGATAGAGGGGGCTAAATGGGCGCGGCACGGGCTAGAGAAGAGATGGAGTGATGTGGTACAGAAGGATGTGGAGCTGAGTGGACTTGCTGATGACTGGTACCAGTGGTGTCAAGATTGGTCTCTGTGTAGGATGCTCGTGAAGGACGCTACTGGGCAGTTGGAGGCAGTCGCCCTCAAACAACATCAGAGGGCGGAGGAACGACGCTCAGAACAACGAGCGGAGCGCCGGGTGGCTAAAGCACAGCAGGTTGGCACAGTAGGGGGCACAGGTGGTGCATCAGCCAGTCATCTCAGTCAGTCGACCCGTGGCACCTGGGTCTGCCCCGTGACCTCCTGCCAGCGGGCGTTCGACACTTCACGTGGCCTCAGGGTGCACATAGCCTGGCACAAGCGTCGTGGTGACGTCACCGCCACTTAGTGGCGAATGGCGGTTGTTGTGTTAGTCCATGTGTGTGTGTAAGTAGATGTGCGTGTGTGAGTCGCTGTGTGTGTGTACGTCGATATGTGTGTAAGTCGATGTGTTTGTGTGTGTGGGTCGATGTCTGTGTGTGTGTAAGTCGGTGTGTGTGTAAGTCGATGTGTGTGTGCGTCTTTTTTACTCGGGCAACGCTGGGTACTTCCCGCAAGTCTAACCTATAAAAGGCAATTTGTAATGAGCAAACAGACATGGTAATACATGTTTGAAGGGAGTTGTAAATCTGTGTGCTACCTTGCGCAGTGTCTACACCAAAGAGAAATCCCCCCCTCACCCCCACCGAACGCGTGTGACTTGGTAGGGTCCCTGCCCCCCACCGAACGCGTGTGACTTGGTAGGGTCCCTGCCCCCCACCGAACGCGTGTGACTTGGTAGGGTCCCTGCCCCCCCACCGAACGCGTGTGACTTGGTAGGGTCCCTGCCCCCCACCGAACGCGTGTGACTTGGTAGGGTCCCTGCCCCCCACCGAACGCGTGTGACTTGGTAGGGTCGAGCACGCGCTATGTAAGAAATAAATAACCCAAAACAGCACTAAACTGCTCATTGAACTACTTTAAAGGTGACGGACGCAACATCGGAACAGCGCTGGCTCAGCACGGGGCGCATGGCGTGCTGCCTGGGTACTTTGTTTAAACGTAAACCCCCACGGTTCGCGAGCCAAATCCTTCACAAGTCTCGGCCACACACACAGACACACAAAAATTACATTTACAGGTAAGATATATAGTGTAGT